AATTCATCGCTAAATCCGATTATTTATTGCTGGAAGATGAGGCATGTTCGAAAAGCTGTCTTGCACTCTTTGCGAAGGACATTTTCAGTGCAATGACAGCTGAGGAAAGTTTTACTATTTTAACAGATTGAGTGGTCTGTAATGAGACCTTGAGAAAAAACCCAACAAAGTGATTTGCAGACGATGTATAAGGAGTTGAACATGAGGGAGCGTATTATAAGCAACGACGACTTAGACGTCAACGAGAACGAGCTAGAACGACAAAAAAGCAATAGGTTTAGATAAAAGAACAACTTTACACGTACATCACGCTTTTTTTGTACATTTCTTTGCCGTCGTTGCATGACTACGACGTAAAAATGCTTAATTTCACGTTTTTGTGAAGGACGTGAACACAAGACAACTTACTTTACAACTTCGATACGGTGTTTTAGAATTCGATACAGTGTTTTTAGAATTCAACTCTAGAAAAAAATTTCCAACATTTAACGAATTAACTGAGATGGAATAAGCGCGATAAAGTTTGAAGCAGTTTTCGTAAGTTTTCGTACTCCGTCGCCGTCGTTGTTGCTTCCCTAAATTTTAAGTCAGTAAATTTAACTCGTAATTTACAGTACATTAACTGAGTAACCTGAGGCCGACGGTGTGCTCAATATTTTGCTTACCTCCATCCAATCAGTACTGATCCGTTTTTCGGGTTTTTAAAGATACTTAAATCTGATTAAAGCTAGAAGAAAAGAACAAAGTCGAAATAATGATTTGAGGTGGGAGTCGGACTCGGGCCACAAAAATTAACATGCTTTCTCAGAAAAAATAGGTAAATAGAGAAATAAATAAATTCGGCTTTGGTCATTTGGTTCCATAAATGTCATAAATGAACGCAAACAAAAGCTTTTTGATTTTCTGTCTGGAAACATTGATATTCTTGGGAAAAAGAACTGAAAGGTGTGAAGTAAATTTACCAAACTAAGGCCTAGGCCAGACCTCGAACTTTACTTGAGACGAACCAAACTCTGTGTTCGACATCTGGCTCAGTTAAGTTCATTTGGCTGAGTTTGGATCTTCAAACACGGCTTAAGATCCGGGAAAAATGTCGATCTTCAAATGTGACGAACTAAACTAAAGAATTAAAAATTTGTATGACATAATGTTTATTTAGTTTCTTACGGGAGAAAATTTATTAAAATTGCTTTTTGCTCTGATTCAGTTGACCCAACAGTCTATCTTAACTTCAGTTTAGGTCGACCCAAATTCGAATCTGGTTCGTCTCATGAAAAATTTGACGTTTGGCCTAGTCCTCACTTCCAATGTGATCTAAAATAAAAGTTGAATTTTGATGCTAGCCTGATACTGTAATTGTGTTTAGTTGATGTCATTGGCGAGAAATTCTCAAAGAACTTAGAACGTCGGTTGTCATGGCGATCAGATTTAATATTTCTTGATCTACCCCTTTTACGTTCTTTCCTTTGCTTTTACTACTACCTATGTGAGCGTTTCCATGAAAATCGATTCGGCGCTAGACCGGCGCTGTTCGAAGTTTCCTCCCTTGTCTACTTGCTTGTCTCGCTCAGGTAAAAACTCAACGAAAAACCCTTAAATTCATTTGAATACCCGCCCTTTTTCAGCTACGCGAGCGATAATACACAAGATGAAACTGCGTGTTTGTGGATATTTAAGTAAATACCCTTCACTGGATAGTTCGCATCCTCGGAGACCCAGGGGCAGTCATTCGGGTCGGGAGAAAAGGCTGTACGTAAGTTTTCAAGTACGGGCATACTTGAAAACTTACATCCCGCCTTTTCTCCCGACCCGACTGACTGCCCCTGGGTCTTCGAGGATGGATCGTTCGGTGATATGAACGTTTTTGATATTCCTGCACTCAGAATTTTCTCTGTGAATTCAAAAAGTTGTTGTGACCGACCTGTTCTCTTGTTCCACTTCAGATTCCTCACATTACCATAAGAGTTTAGAGGAGGGCAGGCATTTCGGTTTTACTGCGTGGTTCACTTTAGTAGGTTACTTTAAGCATAGTTAATTGTGTGGAATGGTTATGAAACCCGTCAGACTCCTTTGTTATATGTTTTTGTGGACCTGAAAGTGCACAACGTTCAAAAGAATTCCTATCATTTTGATTGTATTGACCAATAAAAACGTTGCATTAATTTATTCCTTAACAATTTGCCAACAGAAAACAAAGGATTGTGCACTTTCAGGGTGCTTCCAACATAAACTGCAGCACTGTTGTTTTTATCATTGATATTTGCCGCTTTTCATAACCAGTCTCCTCTAATAACTATACTTTAAGCCTCTCTTTGTTATTTCAAATTTTGCGCTGCAAAAAACTTTGTAGTACACCTCTTTATGAACCGGCAACTAGGAATTCCACCGGAGTCAGACAAGGCTGTCCGCTCTCACCAACAATTTTCAACATCTTTCTTGAGAGAATTATGACTGACGCAATGGAAGATCACAAAGGAACAGTAAGCATCGGAGACAGAACAATCACAAACTTACGTTGGCAGGAAAAGAGGAGGTACTAGCCTCTCTGGTGGATCGCCTGGATAAGACCTCTTCAGCCTTTGACATGGAAATTAGGGCGGAGAAGACCAAACTGACGACCAACAACACCGGTTGTATCAGCACTGACATCAGGGTCAATGGTGAAAAATTGGACGAGGTTGACAGTTTTAAGTATCTGGGCGCAATCGTCACGGACCAAGGTTCCAAACCTGAAGTACTGTCCAGAATTGTACAGACAACAGCAGCACTAGCAAAACTGTATGCTGAAGACCATCTGGAACAATAAGCATACCTCTCTTTGTTCAAAAATCAGACTAATTGTGCGCTCTCTGATTATCTGGGCATTGACTGCGGACATCCTGAAGAAATTGGAGGCCACTGAAATGAGATGCTTTAGGACACTGCTTGGCATTTCATTCAAAAACCAAATCACCAACGATGCAGTCAGAGACAAAACCAGGCAAGCCATATAGGGCCCTATGATGACAACTTAACCACTGTAAAGAAACGTAGAGGTAATGTTACACGAGACGATTCGCAACGACGATTTTTAGGGCAAGACAGCGCTGCGACATTGTTTCGAATGGTTACAACTTTGTTCCAGCACTGCAACACTGTGTTGCGCTAAAAATCGTCGATGCGAATCGTCCCGTGTAACATCACCGTAGGTTAAGGTGGTTTGGGCATGTATCATGTATCATCAGGGCTTGCCAAGACAATCTTACAAAGAACAGCTGCGCAAGGAGGGAGACGAGTAGAGGGCAATGGAAGCGTTGGGAGAATAACATCTTTGGGTGGACAGGGTTGAAGTTTTGCGACGCCCTAAGAGAATCTGAAAAGAAAATCAAATGGAGGGAAAGGGTTGCTAGGTCCATGGCGCTCCAACGGTCGCCATGACTACGGGGTAGAGGCTATAGTGTAGGTACAGTACATTCCACCCACACTCAGGTGTCTAATTCACTGAAAATTTTTTTGGGAAACCAGCTTGTTCGCCTGTCTCCACTTACTAAAACGTTCTTTGTGGCAACAAAAGCATTGAAAAGTTTGCCTCATATCCTCAAGATGCAAATTATTTGATTGTGTGCTGTCACTTAGGGAGTGCTTGGTCACCATTAGCTTACTGAGTCCAATCGGTAAATTGTCACTTGCATCCAACTTTCGCCAGGCCTTGAAGCACCAATTCCTATGATGTCGAGGTTCTTTATGAAGTTGATATCTTCATTGTCTGCGTAGACAATCAAGTCTAAGACATCTCTGAACTCTGCACATCTTGTGAGTTGAACCTCAAGCTAGTTGCTTAGCTACAAAGTGGTCCTTGTTATGCAAAGACCAGGCCCAAATGTAATAAGGCTCTTAGCCATAATCCCAGCTGAACCTGACCATGTCATATTCACCTGTATAATTTAATTAACAATTATGAATTAGGCGGTGAGTATCTTATGAAGAATTATGGAGATCTCGGAGGGTGTTATCCGCCTCGGGCTACGGCCTCGACGGATAACACCCTCCTCGATCTCCATAACTCTTCGTAAGATACTCAGCCTAATTCATTAATTGTTAAATATTATATTTCCATAAAAAATTGCTAGATGGAGCAATTGATAAACGAGCTTTTTCTAATATACAATCACCTTTTAATATGACTAATAACTTTGTTTTAATAAGGCTAAAGCCAGATAACTCCACCTGTTTCTATTCTCAAACCTTTTAATTAATATTTGAACACTTAATGTAAAATGCCTATTATCAGGAACGCTTCCTCTGTCACTTAATTTATTTTACTGTCTTCAATTAATTTCCATTGCTACTGACCATACTACGTTTTAAAGACAGTGAATTATGTGTTTCCTTCAAGTAAGTTCATTTAAAACCGGTTTGCCGAGTTCAGTTTCAGTTTGTTTATGTTTCCTTGGCTAATGCTGGAGGCTGTTCCCTTCGTTAACATCTTACCACCCACGGATATAATTAAATGTCATTCTGCTGACAAAATAAACATAGCAATTAAATGCGTTTTGCGATCTTATACCGCCTCTCAGAAATTTAATTTTAGAGTGCAATTCAGTTATTCGATTTGAATAAGATGATTTATTCTGCCTTTAGAGAAATTAAAAAGTGTTTCTATTGTCTGCGACTATGAATGGGAAAAGATATATTATCGAAGCCAACGCTATTAACAAACTGATAAGCTGATAAACAATAAGACGAAGGATCAGATTATATTTTGCTCATCTGCCCAGGTTCAGTGTCTTCCGCTTAGTCGACCGGTTAGAGATTGTGATGGTGCTGAAAGTCCGAAGATATATTTTGGATCTGATTCTTAGTGGGAGTTTATGAGCAACCTCTTTGAATCTTTTCTTGTGTGGTTAAGAAAAGCGCTCAACAACCAAGAGCGAGAAATGATGCCATTCTCGGTAGAGATGTCCTGTCGAGTGCATGTCAGAAACGCAACTTCGAGTTCAAACTGACCTAGTCCACGAAAAATGACGAATACATATTATCTGTCGTACGTCACTAATTGCGCAATCAACGGCTTCTCGAGTTATCCGGCCATCATGTTGAACATTTTCACCATCTATGCCATTGAGAAAACTACAACGTTGCCAAATAAGACCTTAAAAACACTGCTCCTTAGTCTGGCTGCCTCTGATCTTGGTGTTGGCTTGGTCGTCCAGCCGTTGTACATTGCAGCTCTTGCTATGGAGATGGAACACATCCCGGAAAACAATCTAAACTATAACAACATATACAAGGCTTTTCTGCTTTCGGCAAATATGTTTGGTTTTGCTTCGTTCTTTTGTGTCACAGCTCTGAGTGCAGACAGATTTTTGTCTGTTCATTTCAATCTCAGATATCGAGAACTTGTGACTCATAAGCGTGTTGTTCGTGTAGTGATTGCCATTTGGGTCATAAGTGCATTTCTTTCGTTGATTAGAATATTCATCCCTAAGAAGATCATGTACCTTATTTTTGTTATAATCGAGTTTACTTGTATAATATGTGCCACATACTTTACTTTCAAAATATATGTGGCCACGCGTAGCCACACAGGCCAAATCCGAGCCCAGCAAGTGCAGCGATCATCTCAGAATGGCGAAATCAGGACAGCACATGTTACAAGCCTACAGACTTCAGTGGTGATAACAATTGCCTTATATCTCTTATTTTTGGTTTGTTACTTACCGCAAATGTCTGTTTTATTTATCACTGCGGTCTTTGGACAAAGCAACTTTTTAAAGATTTTATTACACCACACGACCACATTGGTTTTTCTAAATTCATCGCTAAATCCTGTGATTTATTGCTGGAAGATGAGGCATGTTCGAAAAGCTGTCTTGCACACTTTGCGAAGAGCATTTTCAATACAATGACAACTGAGGAAAGTTTTAGTCTGATTTTAACAGATTGAGTGGTCTGTAATGAGACCTTGAGAAAAAACACAACAAAGCGATTTACAGAGAATGTAGAAGGAGTTGAACGTGAGAGAGCGTGTTATAAGCAACGACGACTTAGACGTCAACGAGAACGACAAAACGACTTTGCACGTGCATCACGCTTTTTTGTAAATTTCTTTGTCTTCGTCGCATGATTACGACGTAAGAATGCCTAATTTCACGTCTTGTGAAGGACTTGAAGACAAGACAACATTTTTCTTTTTCTTTAAATTTCCTGAACTTCGATACAGTGTTTTAGAATTCAACTCCAGAAAAAATTGCCAACATATGTTTTAACGAATTAAATGAGATGGAATAAGCGCGAGAAAGTTTGAAGCAGCGTGACTTCACTTTTTAAGTGAAATTTCTGTACTCCGTCGCCGTCGTTGTTGCTGCCCTATTTTTTAAGTCAGTAAATTTAACTGGTAATTTACAGTACATTAACTGACAAACCAGATTCGACGCATGATACATTTTCAGTGAGTTCGTGCGACGTATTAGTAGAGGCTCAAATCTTCTCAATTGTTCATAAAGTCATTCTGGAAGCTTGATTTTCCTCAGTTTTCATGAAACGCAAGCTATCCGCAATCTTTCGTGGGGGAGTAGCACCTGATTACCATGTCGTAAAGAATTTTCAAAAATGTTCATCTCATTAGCATGACATAAAAGTGGGACAGCGTAAGTGAATCTATGACTGTATGGGGAGTTAAACAAACAACCGAGTTAGGAACCGAGTTAAGAACCGAGTTGGGACCGAGTTAGCAAGCGAGTTAAACAAACTTTGGGCCATTTGATTATTGATTTGAGACAAGTTTTTGGAACACCTGTGGATCGAGCTTCCAGGCCGCAACAAAAACAGCTTGCTTGTCACAATTTACCTAATGCCTAATTTCACGTCTTGTGAAGGACTTGAAGACAAGACAACATTTTTCTTTTTCTTTAAATTTCCTGAACTTCGATACAGTGTTTTAGAATTCAACTCCAGAAAAAATTGCCAACATATTTTTTAACGAATTAAATGAGATGGAATAAGCGCGATAAAGTTTGAAGCAGCGTGACTTCACTTTTTAAGTGAAATTTCTGTACTCCGTCGCCGTCGTTGTTGCTGCCCTATTTTTTAAGTCAGTAAATTTAACTCGTAATTTACAGTACATTAACTGACAAACCAGATTCGACGCATGATACATTTTCAGTGAGTTCGTGCGACGTATTAGTAGTGGCTCAAATCTTCTCAATTGTTCATAAAGTCATTCTGGAAGCTTGATTTTCCTCAGTTTTCATGAAACGCAAGCTATCCGCAATCTTTCGTGGGGGAGTAGCACCTGATTACCATGTCGTTAAGAATTTTCAAAAATGTTCATCTCATTAGCATGACATAAAAGTGGGACCGCGTAAGTGAATCTATGACTGTATGGGGAGTTAAACAAACAACCGAGTTAGGAACCGAGTTAAGAACCGAGTTGGGACCGAGTTAGCAAACGAGTTAAACAAACTTTGGGCCATTTGATTATTGATTTGAGACAAGTTTTTGGAACACCTGTGGATCGAGCTTCCAGGCCGCAACAAAAACAGCTTGCTTGTCACAATTTACCTCTCTGGGGGCCAAATGAACTTCTCTGACAGGGTACAGACTTTTGAGGATTTGCTAAGTGGAAACGGAGCTTCGTGGGATGGTATGCTACTCTTGGCTGGGGACATTAACCTGGACATATTTCGCCCTGAAATGTCAGAGATGAATTACAATGAATTGTTAGACTCGCTCAATGTTAAGCAGATGGTCACCAAGGCAACACGAATAGCGAAGACTAGCAAAACCCTAATTGATCACATAATTACTAACGCACCGAAACGCATTACTTACATTGAAGTACTTCCATGTCCGCAAGTAAGCGACCGTTACGTCCGTTTGCTTGCGTGGGGATTACACGTTATGTACCTAGATATAAGCTCATCAGGAACGAAAAACGTTTTTCTGAAACGGCTTCTATTGAGGACTTCGCTGCTCTGTCCTTGAAATCGTGTATGCTTTCGACGACCCCAATAACAAGATCGCGACTTTCAACCAGAACGTTGCTGGAGAGAACGAAGGTGACCGACCCCCCGTGTCCTGGTTAAACTATCCGAGTATTCGCTCGCTGCAAGTGTCGCAAACCAACGCCGGGAGGCGCACGCACGCCCTCCTAAGAAAGGTGCATGGGACATGTTTAGATACACTCGAAACAAGCTCAATAACCTTATTAAGAAGGCCAAGCGGTATTTTATGATCACTGTGTTTTCCTCGAAGCGACCGAAGGAGGTATGGAGGACGATAAACCTTTCTCTCCATCCAAGCCAACAACCACTCCGCGCTGACCCCGACGATCTTAACAGGCACTTCGCCTCGACGGCTGAGAGTGTCACTGCTTCGTCTCCGGCGCTCAGCGAGGACATCTACCGGCTGATCGATCGTCTTACAGATGACTCGCATTCCTCCTTCCGTTTCTGTTACGCCACTCATCAGGAAGTGCTTAGAGAGATAAAGGGACTGCGATGGGACTGCTCGACCGGACCGGATAACATACCAGCTAATTTCGTCAAGCTGGTGGCCGAGCGGCTGGTCTTTCCGCTCACGCATATCAACTCATGCCTTGACAGAAATGAATATCCCCTGTTGTGGAAAACTGCCCGCGCATTAGTCCGATTCCTACGGTGGATGAGCCACGGACAAATGACGATTACCGATTTATCTCTATTTTACCTGTATTATTTAAGGTTTATGAGAAACTGGCTGTCCGCCAAATCACTGATTTTCTCACGGAGAATGCCATCTTGTAATCTAACATCAGTTCATATCGGAAGTGTCACTCCCCTACAACCACAATGTTGGTGATAAGGGATGACATTCTAAAGGCCATGAAAAGGGGTGAAATTACACTGGCCGTTAAGGCAGACTTCTCTAAGGCTTTTGATACCGTTGCCTTCGAGAAAGTCCTGTCTAAGCTGCACCTAATGGGTTTCTCGAGGTCCTCCCTGCAGTGGATAGCAAGCTTTTTAATGGACCGGAAACAGTTTGTGCAAGTTGATGACCGCTCATCAGCACAAATCAGTACTACTTACGGGGTTCCTCAGGGATCAATTCTAAGACCCGTTTTGTTTAACCTTTACGTGAATGACCTCTCTTCTGCTCTTTCATCTGAAGTTGTCTGTCATCAATACGCAGACGACACGACTATGTACACTCATTTCAGGCCATCTGATCTTGAAGTCGGCCAGTTGGTAATTCAAGACGCGCTAAACAAGTTGTCAGACTGGTCCTTAGAATGCAGCCTAGCTGTGAATCCAAAGAAAACAAAGGTGATGATGCTGTCATCAGCTCAGATATCAAGGGCACATGGACTTGAGACATGTTCACTTAAGCTCACGGTTAACGGGAAAAGGCTCGAGTGTGTCTCAAACTTTCGCCTGCTGGGGACCCAAGTCAGTCAGATTAACTTGAAGATCTCTAGCTGCTAGGCTACACTAGCTGTAATTAGAAAATTCAAGCACGTAACTCCCTTCGATGTCCGAAAGCAACTGGTGGAATGTCTGATTTTATCGAAAACTGACTACAATGACATTGTTAGTCATCCAATCCCGAAATACCTAATAAAGCGCCTACAACGTGTCCAGTTAGCCCCTGCAGGTTTCGTTCTTGGGCGCTATATACATGTGCCGGATCTAACCAAACTAGGATAAATGCCTATTGATTAACTTTGTTTTTAAAGCCTTGCATTATAATGACTGGCCGTCCTTTCTTAAGCTAGACATTCAAAATCCAACACGAACACTGAGGTCCTCGAAAGAAGAGACGTTAATTAAAAGTAACCCTTTAGTCGGGTACTTTCCAGGTTAGTACCTCTAATGTTTTCAATTCATTACCCTCTGCTGCAATGAACTCTGTAGTTTTTAGTGATTTTAAAACTCAAGTGAGGAAGTATCTGTAAATAGGGCAAATTTACGTTTGATTTCTTGATTTGTATATATTCTAGATTTCTTTCACTTTTGTCAGTGCATCCCTAATATTGGGTTCTAGCAACGTGAATATTTTTCGTTAACATTTACCTCGCAAGTTTTTTAGGCCAATGAGAACAATTTTTTAGGGCTACTCCGTCTGCATGAATGTTTTTCGTATGAGTACAGTAATTTTCCCTTCCACCAATTTTTTTTCTGTAACTTCGCTCCCCGCTCAATAAATTTTCTAATGGCCCGTCTCTAAAAGAAAAATACATGTGCGGGGATATGTCATTGTTATAATTCTTTTATGGAATTTAGTAAAAAGGAAAATATACATCATCTATCACTAGTAGCAGCCTCGCCATTTTTAAAAAGCAACTTAAAACATTTCTTTTTAAGAAAGCTTTTAATTTGTTGGAATAGTTCTAATGTTTAATTTTAATTTAGTTTGGAATTTTCGAATTTCATTTTTTTTAGATTTTACCATAGCATAACATATCATTGTTATTATTATAGCTTTCAGGGATTTTTATTTTTTTTATTTATTACTTATTCATTAATTTTAACTTAATGTAAAGCGCTTTTGAATATTCTTCTATAGTTTTAGCGCTATACAAATTCATTACATCATCATTATCATTAAAGACAGTGCTTAATTTTATGCATAATTCCCAAAGTAAAACATGACTGGACAGTGTGAGCATTTTATTTTATTTTTTTCATTTTCTGCATGCGACCTTTTTTTTATTTACATGATATACAGTTGATTTTCAATAGAAGCATCGGAAAAATCAACAGCTCTCGCTTGTGCTATTCTAGTATATTCCCTTAAAACTGGTGTCGAAGGATTAAAACTTAATTCGGACACATAGTGTTGCTTGAGGTTCCATTGTGATCCATGAATTGACGGCAGAGATGTCTCAGTCTTAACAGTGTTTTCCTTTGCTACTACGTCGATGGCTGAAGAATCAAACATGCGTGAAAGACTCGAGACTGTCTTAAGTTTTAGTAAATATTCAACATCTATTTCTTGATAATCTTCATCTTCGACTGTTTGATTTTTAAGGACACTTCTGCGACTCAAAACGCAGTTTAAAGCGCTGATATTTTTCCCGCCTCTAGAACCGTGGTTTTTTCTGTATGTCTCGAATGCTTTTCTTTCTCGATCTTTCCCGCTACTTGCCCTGCGTAAACTTTCAAGGCTTTCGTCCCGCGATAGCTTTATTGCTCTCTTCTCCGTTTCCGTCTCTTGTTGATTCTCGGGAACTCTTAGTTTTTCACCAATGGCTTTAACTTGAATATTTTCTTTGGTCGCACAATATTTCTTTATCAGAATCGACAATTTCAATTGTTTCAGACGATTCGTTACATTTGATTCCCCTTGATTTTGTGCTGTGTCTTCGTGTTTATCACAAAAACTGTGAAACATTGGCTCCACTTGATTTCCTAGCAACCATGAGTTTGATCTCTGTATTTGAAGATACTTTCTGGAACACCATTCTTCTGGCGGTGTTAAGGCCGACATTTCAGAATCTCGACTTATTTGGCTTTTGTCTTCCAAACCTAAAGTTGACTCTTCAATATCGTTGCATTCTTTCTGGCCCTCTGTTTTGTAAACAGTTCGCACCTGCAAACAAGGAGAAAACGATAGCCTGCATGCTGTGGCAATTTCGTTGAAAGACATTTTCCGTGCCGGCCTAGAAATAATTCCTGTTCCTTTCTCTGAAATTTTTCCCGTAGTCAAATGTGGTAGTTCCTGACGATCTTTATCTTTCTTGATACCCGCTCCTTTTAATAAGAAATCTTTTGGCATCGCAGACTGGCCACAAAAACCTCCTCGTGGGTTACAAAGCACGTCATTAGCAACTCGGTTTGTTCTAAAATACATTTTTAAAATGATAAACAGTTAACCGTTGTACTTTTAAATATAAACGTCGAATTTGACCATCTAGAAGAATCGTGTCATTATATTCCAAGTCGAACTGACAAAACGAAATGACCTGTCCATATTTAATTTTTTCGAATTTAAATACGCTTAAGCCTCGAAGAAAACAAAACAAAAGTACTGAGGAGACTAAGTATCTTGCAAACGCTAATTGCCGCAAGTGTTTGAGAAGTTAATTGCCATTCGTCGCTTTTAAATCTTGCATTGCAGAATCCACATTTGTAAAACCTCAATTCACTGAAATCGTGTAAACTGATTTGAAAATTTCGGCTCTGTTAGTTGTTTAAAGCTGACATCCATTTTACCGCCTTCAAAATTTTCATTTACGTGCTAGGTCAAATAGAAAATTTTCATTTTCACCTTTTAAGTTGCTATGGTGATATATCATATTAGCAGGTGCTTGCGGCCAGCTGCCGTAAATTATTTTTACTCTTGAGAAAACGCTTGCGCAGTAGCACCCTCTGGCTAGCAATGGCTTATTTTGGGTTCACGCTCCCCGCTTAGCCTTGAAAGAGCATGTGGAGAAGCTAGGCCTTAGTACCCTGACTCGCTTAAATCAACTCCAGGAGAGTTCACCTACATACTAAGTGAGCGAGTTGGGATAATCGCCCTGATTTTATCATCTTTTTGACTTGTTGCAGCAGTGAACCAAGATTTATTGAAAATCTATGACCGCTTCTTTCTTTTACTTTGGTCAACACTAAGTTTCTACATCATATTTAAGTTTAAGCTGGCCACGCTCTTTTCTACATTTTATTTAATTCTATTTGAGAACATATATTTTTTTGGCGTCCGTATCTGAGACTAAAATGAGACCATCTGGTGTTGTAGTAATTCCTACAGGGTACTTTAAGGTATCAATCGTTTTTCCGGTGAAACGACTCTCCATTGTGAACTGATCAACACGACCATTGCGAGCATTGCATACAAGAAGATTGTGATGATTGCCTTGTTTTTGGACACACAATCCCCATGGACGATGCAATTGATCATCCAACTCGCCTTTTTCTCCAATCTTGTGCAAAAACGTCCCTGAATTGTTATGAACCTTTAAGCAATGATTTCCCCATTCGGAAACGATAAACATATCCTCCTGATAGATACATGAGCAAGGACTGCTAAGTCTTCCCGGTCCACTGTCTCCAAATTTAAGTAAAAGTTCACCATTCTGCGATAAAACCTGGATTCTGCTATTATTGTAATCAGCGACAATAACACGCCCTTTATGATCCACACAAACGCTAAAAGGATTCCGAAACTCACCGTCTCCTGTGCCTTTATTTCCGAAGCTTTTCACAGAGTTCCCTGTTTGAATGTTAAATTGCTGGATGCGATGATTTGCTTGATCCGCCACCAGAATATTATCATCGTCAAGATAAGTAACACCAAGTGGGTAATTAAGCTGTCCAACGTTGTTGCCATGACAACCAAGTTTTCTTACACAGTTTCTTTCTTCGTCAATTATGAAGACGCGGTGTTTTTTCTTGTCAGCAACAGCGATTTGTCCTTTGCTGTTCACAGCAATTCCAGTCGGCGCTTGAAGACTTTCTCCTTGTAATTCCAATTCTCTAACAACCTGAATGAGCCGTTGCTTTACTTGAACAGTGTAAGAGCTGGTTGTAAGCACTTTGCCATTAATGCTCACTAAGATATTGAAGGAACCGGGAACCTTTGGTGTAAACTTGACTTGCAAAGATCCATCTTCTTTTCCGTAAGTTTTTACACTTCCTACTTTATCAGCGGGTTGTACAAGCACTTCAACACGGAGTTTGCTCTTCACTCCGCCTTGGATTCTGGGGTAGACTTTCAGCTTTGACTCTACACCAGCTTGGAAAACTTGATTCATTCCCTCTATAATTGGTTCACTGGTTGCCACAAAACCAACATTCAACTTCTCTGGTTCAAAATTTGGAAAATACTTCACAAAGGAACTGACCGGAAACTCTAAGATTGGAGTATCTTCAAGGTAGTGACAACACTGCTCAAGTTTCGGTTTCCATTGCATTATGTTCGAACTGGAGCTTCTTTGCAACAGATTTTCACCAAACTCGACTGCTTGGTTGATCTGCTTTAGCAAGGACTGGAAGTGTGTCTTTGCCGAATTAATCATTTCCAATCGCGACACTCTCGTGTTTTCGAGAAGGGTACAGATCTCAAGTTCCCTTTCGCGAATCTCAGCAATCATTTGTTCCACTGTGTGGAAAACTTCACGTTTAGCATCCATAGCGTTCGTTTGCAGCTCGAGCTCTGTTTTTGCAATGTTATGAATCGCTTCGCGGTAAATTTTGGTCTTTCCTTTTAACATATCGACTCTCTCCAGGATCTTAGCTTTCTCGACGTCCGCAACTTTATCCAATAGTTCAACGTCATGGCCTTCGTGTGGCTTGTGATCCGTAGTGAGGCAAATTTGGCAAACACATAGTTTACATTTGAGACAAAAATATCTTAATACCTCGCGCTCATGATACCGCTGAGAGCAAAATGACTGTCTCTTCATTAGCGCCTCGTAGTCTTCAGATTGGAACTGTTTGACTGGCATCACCTTGTGTCCGTCTGTAAAGTGACTAAAAAGTTGATGTGCGTTTACACAGTCACTGCACATGAATTTAGTGCATTCGAAGCAGTAACTTATCTCTGCGCTCTTTATCTTACAAATGCTACATCTGGTCTCATTGCCATCGCTACTCTGTCGGACAGCCAGCAAACTCAGCAACCTATTATGATGAAAACTTGTCAGCAGTTTATCAAAGCGATTTGCTTGGGGAAGATAGACTTCAGCCTGGCATTCAGGGCAGCGAAACTTTCCGTTCCTTTGGCTGATCAGTGCGTGTTTCTTCAAACACTCACAGCAGAATGTGTGCAGGCAAGTTATTGTCTTAGGATCGGTGAAAGTATCCAGACAGATTGAACAGGTAACCTGTTCTTTGAGGGTTTTTAGCAGAGATTCCATCGTGAAATCTTGCCTCACAGAGAAAAAAAATACACCTTTTTAAAATTTCGTTTTCGTTGTGATTCCGGGATACTTGATCTATATATAGGATTGGAAAAAAACTCTTTCATTTATCCCTGGGTGTCCAACCGGATTTTGAGAAGTCTAAACATCTGATGGAGCGGAAATGTTTATTGTGATTTTCAAAGGCGCATTTTCTTAGTCTGGAGTAAACTGACGTACGAAAATCAAAAGAACGAAAGAAGTCATATTATACAATGGAACGGTTTTAAATAATAAAAATAGAGTCCTTTTTTAGAATCCCTAATATGTTTTTATAGTAATCTTACACAAAGTCTTTATCGGTGAGAGGGAAACAAAAACCGTGAAAAACATTATTTTGGGATGTTATTTATTATCTTAACCAACGAAACAAAAAACAAAAAACAACAAAAAAACGAAAACTGAAGAGCTTGTCACGAATCCATTCATTTCAGTGATATTAAAAAAAGATACACCTTTCGCAGACATTAGCATACAAATATTCGCTATTTAGGTGGCTATAATTGAGGCCTTATTTTCAAAATAAAGTTCAGCGAATTTGCGGAACCAGTCAAATAAGATTTTTCTACTATGAATCCCTACTTTACCTCAATATTTAGTCCCTAGTCTATTTTTATAGGTCTCTTGGAAATCAGCAGTTAGGGATGAACAAAACAATCAGCCATTTGCACCGACTTCTTAATGAGGGCAGTTCAAATTTCTTAATGTTCTTAGACACCCTACCCTGGTCCCAGAGGTTTTTCTTGATTTTTCTTCGTGAAAGAGATCAAGAGGAAGCCGCGAAGCGGCGACAACGAGTCGCGAAAGCGACGAGGAGAGAGAGAAAAACCTCTGGTTACCTTGGCCTCGAATCTCACTTTCACGCAGACGACAGCTGTCAAACGCGTCAAATTGCTAATAAAAGGAGTGACCAATGGCAACTTAGCAAACACGTGCTTATCAGCCACTATTTTTTTAAGTGGGGGTAGACCTGGGGAAATTATGTTATGAACAAACCATCTCCACTTGAATGGTAAAGAGTGATTTGTTAATCGGGGTCAAGCTAAAGCATGTGTTAACGATGTGCGACAAGAGTCCAGGAATAAGAAGACCACTTTATAAAGAAACCGACATTGTTCCAAACGACTGCTGCAGGATTTGTAGAATTTATGTAAAAGTAAGTGGCCGATCTAAAATCAACTTTTTTGGGTATAATAACAAGGATTTTTCACAAACATTGTCATTTGTTCTGTCGGCAGTGTGCCAGCGGGAAGTTGTAAAGTTTGCAAGAGTCTATCAATCGCGCTTATTGCATTGTTTACTTCTGCGGGGCGCGCCGTTCACGTCGATTCGCGGGCATTCCCTTCAAAATAGTAATATTAATATGTATTCTGGCAATCTGGCTCGCATTTTGGTTTGGCGGCTCCATTTCCTTTTTTTGTGGAACAACGACGCTGGGAAGAGTCATGCAGCACAACAAACCCTTAATGTTCGGACTGTACCTTCAGAGGTTTTTGTTGACCCAATAGACCTATTCGGCTAACTCAATGTTGTACCCAATTCAAACCCTTTGGGAATAAAACGTTTGTTTCAGGAATTTCCATATCATTTAAAGGGGAAAGCCACATTATAATGCAAATGCAATACACAAAGAATCTTATCCCCGGGAGATTTGAATTGGGTACAACATTGCGTTAGCCGAATAGGTCTATGCCAAAAATAACGTTGGTTGGATCTTTTTTCGGCGTCGCAGGAAAATCAAGCTGCACCGAAAATGATTACGTACTTGTACAAAGTTGTATGTTTTTCTTCCTACAAGGAAAATTTCATTCCGTATTCGGAGATTTTTTATTTTGCTGTCCTAAACAAGTTAGTTTATTTAATGGAATGACAGTATTGTAACAGAAAATGTACTTTCCATGTCCGGTTGATAAAATGGTGAACACATCCTTTCGACTCAACGCAGCGAACAAAGCTTTCTTTTGTTGTTCAGTGAGACTCAGGAAAGCGCTCATTAAGTACCGAGGTCAAAATTTCTTCGAAAATTCTTTCAGGAACAACATCCATGTCAAAATCTCTAAATATGGCGTGCCTTTACGTGCCTTGGTCCCGTGCAAATATTATTGCGAGTGCAGCATACAAACAATTTTCTTCCCTAGTAGAGAGAGGCAAAATGAGGTGTGAAAATCCTCAGTGTCCCCTCGGTAGTTACAATTAAACGAGCCAATCAAATTGGTTTGCGTGTTTGAAAAACTATCAACCAATCAACGCCCGAGGGTCAGATCCTGATCCTGTCGTCTGCATGAAAGTGAGATTCGAGGCTAAGGTAACCAGAGGTTTTTCTCTCTCTCCTCGTGGCTTTTACGACTCGTTGTCGCCGCTTCGCGGCTTGCTGTTGATCTCTTTCGCGAAGAAAAATCAAGAAAAACCTCTAGGACCAGGGTATAGACACCCGCGAAAGTTCTGAATCCCTTTATCTATCTATTTATTTATTTATTTATTTATTTACCAAGTTAAGTCCGAGATTCAATGATGAATAATATATAGATTTAGGCAGGGCTAAAAGCGAAGCTCTCCATAATATTTATAGTTCGTTCAAACAAAATATAAAATCGTGTAATGCTAAGCGGCGAACGGAGGCAACGCTGGAGAACGGTGAAAAACAGCAATAGGTCTAATTAGCAAAAAAGCAACTTTTCACGTGCAGCACACTTTTTTTTGTACACTTCTTTGCCGTTGTTTTGCACGACTACAGCGTGAAAGTTCCAGAAACTTCTTTTAATAGTTACACTTTTTATGGAGGAAATGTCGTACGTGTTCTCGTTCACTTTTTTTTCACTGCCGCTCATTTTCACCTTGCATTTGATTGGTGGCCGCTAGCATTTCTCATTTTGTCAACGCCGCTACAAAGTTTTCATGTTGCTCTTGCAAAAAAAATGTCTCTTTTTTTTATTTCTCGCTCTAGATCTCTGTCGCCCCTTTTCTCGTTGAGCTTTGCTGGCCTGCCGCCTACTTTCTCTTTTTCTCTGTCTTTCTCTTTCTCTGCATTCCAAATTTGTGGACATGACAATTAATCTAAGCTTAATACTTTAGACAACACGGATATAGAAACAATTTCCGCTTTCTGTTTTCGTCTTTATTGACTCTTTAGCTGTCTCTGCTTTACAAGACGCCGGTGGCTATGCGATTTCCCGCCAAAGTAACCTCTAGTTGCATTTGGGTTGCCATACCTGCTGATTGAGTTATTTTACATTGGTTTGCCTGTGGTGAGGACGGACGGTTGGGCGGGCGGGCGGGGCGTATGGTCACGTGATTACCAAATTTTCTCGGGTGGGAGCTCCGCTATAAAAGTCTTTTCTAAAGACAAGTAATAATGAACCATTAAGCAAAATGTAGACCAATGAATAGCTTCCCGGCTAAAGCTCAAGCGATTTTGCCAATACTACTTTTCTTGGTAGTCTGTTCTATTCCTGTATGGATCTTGTAAAAAATGAGAAAGCTTATGAAAATCGCAGTTAATCAAGTGTAACTTAAAAGCATGCCCAGATGAGCATGTAAAGGAACTGGCAACTGCGTGGAGCCATTCTGTATTATCTCCATAGGTTTAGTGATTTTTGATCTAGCAAAGCAAAAACAGGCGAGCAATTGTTCTGCGAGTTTCCAATGTCGTACGTTCTAGCCCAGGCAACTAAGCATATCAGTCAGACACATTATCCTACAGGACCCATGAGCTGCTCTAGTCTGAACCATTTCAACTTGCCTGATGTTCTTGGCTGTATAAAAGTCCCATACGGATGAGCAGTGTTCAAGTGGAGGCCGCGCACAAGAGCTTTAATTTATATGCCTTCTCCTTCGTGGATGTGGAGTAATTTTTCCGCAGATTTCGGTTGAGGAATCCCAACGTCTTTTTTGCTTTGTTTGTAATGTTGCTCACACGAACGTTCCATCTAAGATCTTTGGAAAGGTATACTCCATGGTACTTGGTATTATCTATTGCTTCGAGTCAAGGCAGCAGCCGTGAAGGGTAGTAAATGAACACAAGGAGATGAAACTATTTGATCGGGTACGTGGGGCACAGGGTTAAATTCACTCGTTGTTAAATGTTATCTATGACTTCAAAGAAATAAAATGTTCTTAACAAGGTTTAAACAGTATTAAAGGACTTTATGGTTCCCATAAGTTGCTAACAATTTAATCAAGTTACCCCCAAAATCAAAAGTTGCCAAAAAGTTGCCGAGCAACTTGTGGCTGAGGCTAACCACTCTTCCAGAAGGTTTTTCGGGGATTTTTTGAAAGCGGCTTCAAGTCAGATTCACTGTCGGCCATTTTAAGTGACGCCACATCAGCGCCATTTCCTTAAATACTCCAATCGTCCTGCAGAGCAAACAGGCCCTCCACTAATTAATCTTTGCAAAATATTATAATAAGGCAGCAACTTAAGAGAAAGGGGGGGGGGGGGGGGGGGGGTTCCAATATATAAATACCTAAACCAGGGGGCTTATGGGGTTTTTTTATTTTTTCGCCAGATTGGA